ATTCAAAGGTTCAGCACTCCAGGGAAAAAGTGTTATGAAATACAACAGCTTGAACCTTCATACCAAATTAACATTTTGTACATATGTCTTACACCATCCAGCTAACTGTTATGAGTCTTAGGAAAATGCAGTTTTAAATCTTCAATAGATCTCAGGGACATGGAGTCAGCTGATAACCTAAACTCCGTTATGTACATAAAATCAAACTTAAGGAGAAAAATATTTTATTAAATATTGTAATAAAATTAAATTCTTGAATATCTGTTATAGGAAGACTGAAAATTTGTTGCCATACACAAATGTTTCTTACATATTTTTTTGGATGCATCTTATCACAGATGATCATACGGTACGCTTTAAAGATGCAAATGGCAATAGCAAAGAGAACATACTTTTCAACCATAGTACCGATATTCCGGCAAGCTTCTTCAGCAGCCTCTCTGAATGCAAAGTCAGGATGGGCAATTTTCACAAAATCAGCCTGACAGAGTAAAAGAAGAAGATAATAAGTCATGAAATCATATTAAAAAATTTTAATTATAAACAAAGTTGCACTTGAATAGTTCTACTTAGATTCATGTTTATTGATATGGTTCTGTATAACCTATTTGAATAATTTGCATTTTTTTTCCTCAAAAATAAAGCTTATTGAAGAACTGTGCTAACCAGTTGTAAAGCAGACAGTGAGTCTTTCCAAAAATATCTTTAATCTATATACTTCTTTAAACTGTGTTAGCACAGTGTACCCCTTAGAGTGCCAGTCCAAATCGCTTCTAGGTAAAATTCTGCAAGGAGGATAGGCCATCTTTGAACATATAAACCTGAAAGCAGCACACAGGAGGAACCAAGGTACCTTTAACTCAGCAAACTAAAACAAAACTATGACCACTGAATTCTAACATGAAGTGCTTGAGTTAGGTATTGACTGATTAAGAGAAAATGATCATAGTTCATATTACAATATAATAGACAAAAGAGAATGAGTGTGCAAGTACTTTCAGGAATCAAAGAACCATAGAATGGCCTGGGTTAAAAAGGACCATAATGATTATCTAGTTTCAACCCCTGTCACAAAAGAGGTCTTCAAAAGAACAAGGAAAAAGATTTGAAAACTGAAACCAAGAGAAATTCAAATATGAAAACCAAAAAATTAAATGAGCTATTATTTATTAGCAACTGATTTCTGTTGGGTATGCTTTCTACAGATAAAGAGCAGTCTTCTTCTAAAAGATACATTTTGACCAATTTCTAGTGAGCAATAAAGAGTACATGGCAAAACTCAACATTTTGTGATAAAAAGCAGTGGATCTAGTACTGTAATTCTGCAGACATCAGAAACTGCAGTCTGGGAAACAACTGCATTGTGCTAATAAAAGGCAATACTATTTCCAACCAACATGTTACACAGTCCCCCATCTTCTATAACATAACTGATGCTGGACAGTTTACGTACTAATATTACAGCAGAAACAGTAAAATACTATTCTGATTTCAGCACTATTTTTCTTGTCCTGGCTTCTGTACTGCTCCTACATCTGTCCTAAATTTAACTGGACAGTTTGACAAGATTTGTAGTTATCTATATACTGTTAAAGCCATTGTAATTAACTTTCACTCAATTTATTTTTCTGTCTTAATACAAAACTTCACAGAGCTGATCTACTATTCACTGCAATACTGAAAAATGTAAAATGAAACAGAACGGTGTAAGGTATAAAGTCAGTCAGTTTAAAAGGAATTGCTTAAAATAGTAATAAAAAGTAACTTACCAAATCTGCTACTCTGCACAAAGCATCTGAAAGCTGATCAAAGATCATTACAATCTCAGGCCCAGGTGGTGTTGAACATGCCTTCTGAACTAGCTGTTCCGATTCTTGCAATGCTTTGTCCTGTGCTTCTTGAAATCCTTCTGGGCAACTCAGTTCTGGAACATCAAACAGACCCTGCAGTGCAGAATAGAACAGAAACACTATCACCTTCCTTGCTTTCTGCCTCTTTGTTTCAGTATGAAATCTCCACTGTGAAATGTTACCAGAATGACCCCTCCAACACAAGTATCCTAGAGAGCTAATAGTCATAAAATCAACAAACATCAGTCAAAGATAGTGGCATCATACACGAACATCTTCACTTTCCAGCATCACCCTTCACAGAACATCCTCACTGGAATTCTTTCAGCCAGGATTCTTCTCAGAAAGACCCACACAAACTTTACCTGTTCCCTGTAACTTGCTATACTGTCCTTCCTTCAAAACAGTTTTCTTCCTTCCAAAGCACAAACACGTGACAAATCATAAGACATTACATTCTGAAAATAGGGAAAATCATCTTTGTGAAGGGAAAAGACTTATCAAGGAAAGTGAAGAATAAAGGGGGTGTCAAAACAGCAAATGAATGTCTTGTCTAGCTGTTCCCGATACCAACAGAACAGAGATCTCATGAAATGAACCCCAAGCTCTGGAAAAAGATCTCAAGGGAATGACAAGCAACAACTCAAAAATAATATGGTATGAACAGTTCTGTTCCTGAATGTTTTTTAACCAAGCCTGTCCACGTCCCAGAATTCAGGGTAAGTACACTGACTGAGCATAGCTTTGGCAGGGCAGACATGGTCAGCAGTTACATACTGCACTTGTTGAAGAGAGTTAAGAAGTTTCTGCAGATCACACAAAATTGTTAACACTATGGGAAAAAATTGTTAACACTAGGGAAAAAAATATACATACACCTCTAAAAAAGATAAAATAGTAACTCTGAAAGCAGTACACTACAACTCCCTTTGCAATCGCCCAACCACAATACGAGTATGTCTATTTATGGCTTGTCTGTAAAAGCATATGTTAAGAAAAGAAGCATCATCAAAAATAAGCATTTGGGACATTCTGAACTGCTTTGTTCTATTCCTGTTGCCAAGGTAATCACGTTTTTCTAATACTCTTAACACAAGCTGGTCACCCTAAGACAAACTCTTTCCACTTTCCATGTTTTCATTTGTTATGTGGGAACAGGAACCAGATAGCAATAAAGAGAACACTGGAAAAAAATATAAATATTTATGTGTATGACAACACATGCACACATATGCACACGTGCATTATAGTGCCCTTCAGTAATGTTTGTTGCATAAGACACAAGGCCCGGACACTTTATTCTGCTCCAGATAGTTGAGGACCTCTGCTCTGCAGATCCTGAGAGCTCACGCCCTTCTGCAGCAGAGCATTACCATTGATCCTTGGCAGTGAGCTCTTCCTGGGCACGCAGCCCTCTGTGATAAGGAAGCATCTCCTCTTCAACACAAATCAGCTGAGAAGTTCCTCTTCAACATCATACAGAGTAAAACATGAAAATTAGAGGAAAGAAAAAGCCCGGTGCAGTTTTGCAGCTTTCCATGTTCTTCATCTGTGTGATTGCACACCTGCTGCATCGCCTCCTTGCTTGGCATCTGCGTTTATACCCTACCCGTTTTAACTTCTAAGCAAGCCTGTAATAAACATCTGTATTCCTACAGAGCTCTTAAGTCTCTCCAAAGGCCAAGCAAATACAGAACCCTTTCTCTAGGGCAGGCAAATGCACAACATTTAGCTGGATCTTTTGCTGAAGCAAGACTTCATCAGTGTGCTTGGAAAGGGAGGGGAAGAGATGAAAAGTGTTTCCCAGAAAAATGCTAGACTGTCAACAGGAGTCAGAACTGCAGCAGTGGCTGAATCGATTAGTCCCAGTTCAACAGTCTCATTGCTGCAGGAACAGGGGATTTGGAGAACCAACACCTGGAACTCACAGGTATTTGGCATACTCAGCACTGGTGAGGCCACACCTCAAGTGCTGTGTTCAGTTTTGGGCCCCTCACTACAAGAAAGGCAGTGAAGCCCTGGAGTGTGTCCAGAGAAGAATAATGAAGCTGCGAAGGGTTGGGATCACAAGTCTGATGGGGAGCAGCTGAGGGAACTGGGATTGTTTGGTTTGGAGGAGATTCAGGGGAGACCTCATCGCTCTCTACAACTGCCTGAAAGGAGGGTGTGAAGAGGTGGGGGTCATCCTCTTCTCCCAGGTAACAGAGAATGGCCTCAAATTGAGCCATGGGAGGTTCAGGTTGGATATTAGGAAAAACTTTTTCTCAGAAAGAGCTGTGAGGCACTGGAATGGGCTGGCCAGGGAGGCGTGGAGTCATCATCCCTGGAGGTGTTTAAGAACCATGTGGATGTGGCAGGGAGGGACGAAGTTAGTGGGCATGGTGGGGATGGGCTGACGGTTGGACTGGATGATCTCAGTGGTCTTTTCCAACCTTCATGACTCTGTGATTCTACGTATCCACATGCACAGCACCATCGAGACTGCCATCCCATGCTGGTCAAGAGCTTGTTCAGATTCTTAGGGTTCTCATAAACAAACCTAACTGACTCATCCTAAAAAGAAATACATCAGAAAGCCCGAGTGTCACCAGCCCAATATATATTCTTTGCAGTAAGCCACTTAACGTTATGAACAGTACCCACACACAGAGATGACAGCGGTCTAATTCCAAAGCACTGCCGAAGAGCACGAGCACAATACTGATAAAACAATATGCAGCCAAGCAGCAGCTCCGCACGCAAGGCTAAACACACTGAGACACACACGGACAGACACACAGACAGACACACAGACACACACACGCGCCTCCCTCCGCCCAGCACCCTGTTTCCTCAGATCCCGGAAGAGGCCGCAGTTCGGCCCCGTGCTTTCCAACACGCCGCGCACGCCGCGCGCACCTCCCCCCCCACGTCCCGCACCCTCCGGCTTCCGCGGCCGCCCCCTGCCCGCCCTGCCCTGCCGCCGCTTACCGTTTCCCTGTCCGTCGCGCTCCTGCGCTGCTGCTTCGCATCGAAGGCGGCACCCACAGGGCACCAGCTGGTGCTGACGGCCCGCCGCCGCGGTCCGCCGGCCGCCCGGCCCCGCAGCGCAAGGCCCAGCGCCGCGGGCAGCGCTCGCCGGCAGCCGGCCAGCATGGCGGAGCGCGGTAACGCCGGCAAGGCGCCCTGGAGCTCGGCTCCGGGCACGGCCGCGACCTCTGCGCGTTCCGGCCTGAGGCGGGGAGCGGCGCTCGCGAGCGGGAAGCGGAGCGGGAGCGGCGCCTCCCCTCAGCCCCGCCGGCCCCGCGCTGCCGCCCCGCGGCCGTGCGTTGGAGCTGAGCGGAGCGGCTTCGGACGCCCGATTGCGTCAAGGAGGAGTTTAACGCTCTTTTAGAGTTATGCCGTTTCTGTCGTCTCGATCCGTGTTTTAAAAGATGGGCATGAGAACGGTTTGTTTTCTGCTATATTCAGATGGAATTGGCCAGCAGATTGAAACTTTACTGAGGGACGCAGGTGTATGGCATTAATGGATAGAACAAACAAAACATGAGACAGGAAATAAAATAAGGATTAAACTGTTAAAAAAAAAAAAAAAAAGTACCAAGCAAACCAGCACCGAGTTTGCTTGCAGGCTGGATGTGGCTGTGGGCAGCCTGGTCTGGCGGTTGGCGACCCTGCACATAGCAGGGGGGGTTGGAACTAAATGATCATTGTGGTCATTTTCAACCCAGGCCATTCTATGATCCTATGAACCTCCACCGCTTTGAACAGTAAGATTTGGATGAGCAGGAATCAGACAACAATTCACTCAAGTCACAGATTAACAGCGTGGCTTCAAGCTGTGGGTTCCAGCATCTCAGAGGTGCTGAACAGGAGGAACCCAGTGAAGGTGGTATCATCATCAGCATCTGCAAACAGCCCGTTGAAGCCCTCTCCTCGGTGAGCCTGCAGCCACACCTCATCTCCTGCCCGTAGTTGAAGGATGGCAGCTCCTGATGCCTGGTCCTCAGCACCCTGGTATCCATCCATGGTGTGCAACATCTTGATCCCATTTTTGACTAGAGCTACTCGGACATTCCTCGAGTAGACAGTGATATGGTAGGTGAAATAGTAAACACCAGAGAATTTGCAGGTGAATTTGCCAGTAACTGGGTTATAGTCACTTAGGCCGTTATAAAGCACCTTGTCAAACTTGATTGGGTGACTGTGGGGAGGAAACTTGGTGGCAGCTGTAAGGCCTACACTGAAAGCGCTCCTTGGCAGAACTGCTGGGGCACCTGTGTTCCCCTTGTCTCCTCTGTCTCCTTTAAAGCCTCTTTCCCCCTGAATTCCTGGGCTGCCCGGTGGCCCCAGATCTCCAGTATTACCTTTAGGACCTGGATTACCAATGGGGCCAACTGGCCCTGGCAAACCAATTATTCCAGGATGGCCAATTTCACCCTTTGTCCCTTTTGGACCTATGGGCCCAATGTCTCCTTTTAACCCCTTTTGTCCTTGCAGTCCCAGCTCTCCCTTCTGACCTTTGTAACCCACTGACCCTATAATTCCTTTTGGTCCTAGTTTCCCAGGTCGTCCTCTTTCTCCTTTATCTCCTTTGTTCCCCTTCTCTTCAACAGTCCCATTGGCTCCTAAGTGGGAAAGAAAAAGAAGTCCAGTGGATTAGTGAGTCAAAACATGAGTTTTAGCACAAAAACATATGTGTATGTCACCACTGTGCTCACCATATGTACAGTGTTCCATACATGTGAGTTCAGGATAAGACAGAAAAGCCTGCTATTACAATAGAAGACGGGGGCCTTTGCTGAAAGCAACAAAAATAAGCTCAAAGAAAGGAAGGTGTGATTAGTCTACAGGCCGCTGATAGCACTGACAGCTCAGATCATCTCATGTACAGACAGCATCTGTTCAGACCCATGTTTTCAGCCTTTGCTATATGTGGGGGAGACAGTTTGCAATTTAGTCAGAGAATCTATTACTTGAGCAACACACAGATCTTCCTTGCCACGAGTTTCTATAGTTTCTACGTGATGGGGCTTTGTTTGGGTTACCTAGATTGCTGTTGAATTGCAACTAAAGGCTTTTTGTATTGGTATTTGCTTTTACATGCTCCACTTATTCTTCATTCACACTTGGAAAGAAACTCAAAGCCTTTGAAAATCCGTCTGTACAAAGTTTTGCAGAGAAAGCAGAGCTTTCTGTATTTTAAAGGGCACATTAACAACTGATAAACGTGAGTGCCAGAAGATGCCATAATGTCCATACACTCTATCAATCAAAGCCAGAGTCTGATCATTTCTGTGTGAAAGCTTGTGGCTTTTGGTATTGGGAATAATAGTGTATGTAAAATGTGAACTTTACTGTTCTCAGCTCAGAATTGAGAGTATTTGGCAGCAGCAATGAAGTAAAACCATGCAATTCTGTGGTTAGCCTCTTGGAAAAGAAGCACAACAGATCCAACAGGCCACTGACATGAGAAGAGAAGATAGCTCTGTAATGTTAAACATTTGTGTTTTCATGTCTCTCTGCTTCCTTCTAGTAGACTGGGGAAACGTCTGAGGGCTGTAGAGCAGCTTGTAATTACTCCCATGCAGTGCATCTTCCATGGTGTATTTCAGAATAATCCTAAGGATTTTGGAGAACCTGGATACAGTATTTGGCAGGTTTCAATGCTTTTGGAAATATAAATTGTCTATGCACAGTTACTTCAAAAGATGCACCAAGTCCAACATCACCAAGTTACTGAATTTGTGTTCCAACTTGTGCAATATTGCTTGCTTTTATTCACAGATCACTCATGAGACTTTCTATATGCACATAGTTTGGCTAAGCATGTGGTGTAGCCATTTTCTAGACCTTCATGGCTTGGGCTGTTGGGATTATGGAAAAGTTTATGGTTGCTGTGATGAGATAGGAAAAACATCACAAGAATATGGGAAATGGGATCTGAGGTGAGATGCCAGTTTTATAGAATGCATGGCAACTCTTGTCCTGTGGCCCTTGAGGGCTGCTTTAAGCCAGGATGTTGGGGCTAATGCCTTATGGGCATATATTTTAAAATACTGCTAAAGATGCTGGCTTGACTCCAGGCTGTTTGCAGGAGGTGTGATTGGAAAAGGTGTAGGAGAATGGAATCGTGGAATTATCCCAATTAATCCCAAGTCAGAAGGGACCCACCTGATTGATCTTATCAAATAACAGGATCTACTGTATTTTCAGGTGTACAATTCATGTCTTCTGTAATTCTTTTTGAAGTACCTTTGCCTGAAGGTACACACATGCCTATGGGAGCTTCAGTTTCCTTGGATAGGTACAGATGTGGTGTCTGCCTCAGCAGCTGACGAAGGGATGAGCAGTAGGAAAGGTGAAGTCATAGGCTGAGCAGATAAGTTATATGGCATCAGAGGCAGCAGGGTAAGTGGAGGGAGCAAATCCCTCTTGTATTGTCAGCCTCCATCCCTTCTGAAAAAAGGTTGTCATGGTTTTTTGATTTTTGGTTATTGTATTCCACATCATAACATCATGTAGTGCACTACGAATTGAACTTTAACATTACTTTGCTACAGCTAGAGTGTACAGCGTGTCCAACGCTCATAAACCCATAGACAACTAACAAATTGAAGTGCTCCTTCTCTGACCTTTTTGTCCTTTTTCTCCATTTACACCATCTTTCCCTGGATTGCCAGGAAGTCCTGCTTCACCTAGTACAGAAGAAAAAACAGATCTTCATTAAACAACTGTATTACCAGAAAAAATGGGATTGAATCCTTCCCTGATCATTCCTCTTCAAGTTTGGCTAAACAATAATGTAATCATTTTATTCCTCATTCTGGTGCATGCCACTGCTGAGGCTTTTATCTCACTGGGAGAACAGAAATTCTGCTTGGGAAGAGCATCTTTTTGAGTCAGAGAGAGTTCTTAACATAAAGAAGGGAGATATTGAAATATGTGGAGGAGTATGCTGGTCAACATCAATGAGGTGAAAACCTCTTGTCCTCTTGTTGCCTTCATCCATGGAAGATAACATGGAAGATACCAGCAGGAAAAGGAGTGAGGAAGCTACATTCAGAAAGAAGCTTTACCCTAACAAAAAGCCTCAAAGTGAAACAGTGATTAACTGCCCCCAAAGAAAAGACATCTGCGGGCATTTGCCAATGGTGATGAAATATCACTGTAAATAATATTGTCTGTAGATTTGAATGAAGCATTTACTCTTAATCCCTTTATTTAGCATGGATTTAATTGAATCTGCCTAGTAAGAAGCTGATGGATTTTTTTAATTTTAAGCAAGACGAGGTCACTGAAAACAGAAAGAGCACATAAGGGGTTGCTTGGCAGAATTCTGTAAATTGCTTTATGAACAAATTCAAAGTAACTATTCAGCAGACACTGAGGTAAATACTGAATTGGGTAGACCTGACTTTCAGTGGCCCAGAGCAAACAGTAAATAGCAGGTGACTTTCTTACCCAAACTGTAAGTGCTGATTATTTTTCAGCTGATCTAATTTACTGTGCAGGCACACAAAGAGTTGTGGTGTACTGGAGAGAGGAGTGAAGGGGTGGCAACGAGATCTAGCAGAGGTTCCTGCCTGCACCATTATTACCACCAAAGAAATGCACATCAAACTACACCTTCAACACTGATTGCAGCACTCACTTCCTGTGGCAGCACAGGCTTTCCTGGCAAAGAAAGTGATTCATTAGCTTTTGGGTTGTGATTGCACCAGTAACCATCTATTTAGGTCAGGCATTTCCTTTGGCTTAAAAGGCGTAGTAAAACATTGTAGCACATTTCAAGTTAATTTCTTGCAGACTGTTGACCTCAGTTTGTTTTAGGTACTGGGTTATGTGCTGCACTGAAAAAAAAAAAAAAAAAAAGAAGAAAAACAACCAAAATCTGTGACTCACAATCTGCAAGATCAGGATGGCAGAAGGGTTTATCTGATGGGCACAATTTCAATCTGGATTGATTTGTGCACACAATAGGACTGTTCATGACAGGTTTATGCATTAAGCCATGATGCCCACTGTGTGATGCCACACAGTTGCTGACCTGACCAATAGCCTGCTGGGGGAAAGCTCTCCTACCAAAATTTATGAGCAAATATGAAGCAGATTTGTGTTTGTTCTGTGTTTTGTATTCTGGACTTGTGACACTTCTGATGAAATGTTGTCTGTCCACGTCTGCGAGTTCATCCCCTGCAAGATCCATGACCTTGATGATGCAGCATGGATGCTGTCTTATCCTGAGGCTTAAATTACCACAGGAGTTACTGCCTTCAGGCTGAGACGATTTCCTGTCTTTGGTATTATATGCAAATCTCTACTACAGCCTGCTACAGCAAGCATGAATCCAACACTGTTTTTCAGATGGTGTCCTTCCTTGCCCTTCACAGTAATGGTGCTTATGTTACAGCAAGTAGGCACACTCTGAATCAAGTTCTACAAATGTAAAATGTTGGTAATAAATAGAAGCCTTGTTACCTCTACATTTCTTATTACACTGATTTTTTTTTTTCTTTTAATTGGGCTTGATATTTTTTTTCTGAAAGTATAGTTGCTACTTTAAAGATGCAGAAATATGTTTACAGACTTCAAAATGTTCAAGCAGACCTGAAAATACTCCCTGAACAGAAAGTAAAAACTTTCATTTTTGAAGCTGTTTTTGTCCCTTGGACCTGACCTCTCTATTATCTCTATTATCTATTTTGCTTTCATTAGGTCTTATCTCATATCTTCATTCTCACACAAGAATGTGATGGAAGTCTGAGATGTTTTCTGAGGGCTAGCTGGACTAATCTATTAATGCAGGTTGCCAGGCATCTTTGGGAAACCAACAGCAAACTATTTTGTACTTCCAAGTCTTTGTGTTGAACACAGTACCTGTGTCTCCCTTGTCACCTTTTGAGCCATCACGTCCATCACGACCAGGTATGCCATTGTGTCCAGGATTGCCAGGAATGCCAGGATATGCTTGGGTACAGATATCCTGCTTTTGTGCTTCTTCTGTGCTGACTGCAATAGCCAGCAGTATAATCCAGCTTTTCATTCTTTAGATAGGTTAAACGATTTTGGCTGAAAGATGTAAGAAAGGAAAAGTACATTTGCTTAAGTCTGTCTGATTGGTTTTTTCCTCATGTTCAGCTTGTGAGCCCAAAAACAGTGTTGGGAAGGGAGTAAAAAAAAAAAAGAAATGGGCTTTCAACTTATCTGGTGTTTTGTTTTGTTTTATTTACAAGTCTCTATATAGCAGTAAATACTATCCTTGACACTACTGGGCTTTATTTCCAATAATAATTTAATGGGAATATCAGACATACCTTTGTCGTATAGGTTCTGTCTCCTATTTTCTTATACACTGTGACCAGTAGAAGTAACTCTGCAAGGACAGTCCACAGAGATACCGATGAGGTAGATGGTGAACAGCTGAAAATCACCAAAGCTCTGGGGAAGTTGAGGGCTACCCCTCATGTCCTCGGGATCTAGCCAGCAACTAACAGCTCAATACCTCCCACTTAGTTTCCCACTGTTCTGTTTAAATGATCAGAGTACTGACAAAGCACAGATTTTGTGAATATGGTTCATCTTAAACTGTATTTTAAGATCATAATAAAAAAGCAGAATTGATCATCACACTTCCAGTGATTTGACTTATTCTGACCAACAACTCAAAACTCCAATGTCTGGCAAGTCCACAAGGAAGTGTGCTGTTGTTGCTGTCCTAAGGCCAAAGGCATAGGCAAGATTTCAAGCCCTGTGGGGTCGATTCAAGTAAAAGTAGTGACTCTACACTCATACACAATGATTCATACAACTCCTGTTCCTCTAAGCTGTTGTTATAACACACAGGCACTCTTTGTCATAATTTCTACATTCCCTTAGCCAGAGCAGCACTCACATAGGAGCTGCTTCATGGCGGCTGCTGCCTGACAGAAGCCTGTCTACAGCTTCAAGCTCACTCCTTCCTTTCTGAAAGACTTGATAAAAACATTACCCTACGCATTTGAAGTCAACATACTTCTTCTCTCAGGGCTCAAGATCAGATAGTGTTGGCCATTAATAACCCAGTATTTGTCCAACAGCTTCTTAAGGGAAAAATAAATCTGCGCCAGTCAGGCAGCTTGCAACTGAGAAGAAACAGGTCTTCCCCATCTACATTTCTTCATGCCCGCTCATGGCTACAAGGTTGTACCTCTCGTCTCCCACGAGCTGGCTGTGGTCCTGCAGGAGGTGAGCTAAGGTGATTCAATCCCTTAACTTGGCACAAAACAACAGCATTTGTTGCTGTTGTTGTCTTTTCTCTTCTATCACAGTTAGTCTTTTTCTGGGTTAATAAGTTGAATGACCTCACAAAGGGTCAGAGCTGAAGCAGAGTGGGATGAGGACAACGATGTGAGGAATCAAATAAGAATTGTTTTGCAAAAGCAGATCTTTAGTCTAGTTCTCCCCCTCTCATTTAACTGTGCTTCATAAAATCCAGCTTATTTTTACACCTTCTTCACAGAGCCCTTGCTGCTTTATGGCTTTGAGGAGAGGTCCACTGAACAGGAATTGGGCTTGCCAATTATTCTTTATAAGAGTAATTCGTGGGAAGAGGTTAAAAAGAGGGACAAAAATGAAATAGCAACAAAATTAGTATCTATTTTATTTGATGCTATTATCCTTAAATAACTAATGCACAGAAGCTTAGCCTATGGAGGTTAATAGTAGTCAGAATAAGTACTTTATGTAATTTTATGTAATTGACTTCTAAATTATTTCTTTCATGAATAAGAATTTAAAGCTAAGATCAGTTTCCTTTTGAAATACTAACTAGGATTGTGACATTTCAAGTGACGCAGGTAGCATGTAAGAGAGAGACACCAGTATATTCTCATTAGCAACAATTGCACCTTAGTAGGAATATTCAATTTAAACATTCATACAGCTTATAGGGTAAGATAGCCCTAAATTTGGGACAGATCCTTTAATATTTCCTCCTTTTTCCAAAATATTCTCAATTTTGCAGCAGTTATTTGAAATGTTGGTGGTGCCTTTGCCAGCAGCATACAAAGGGGTGTTTGGTCACCCACCAGCAAAATCTCTCTTCATCTGCTGCTGGTTTGTACCAAAGGGAGTTGAAAATATGTCAAACTTTTGCTATTTCCAAACTATGTAAACGTTTTCTGCCTCAGTCAAAGAACACTACAGGAGAGTGAAAGGAAGAAGTGCTGTGTGGGATGCTGTTAATATATGAATTACCCCATGGGGACGTCTGACAGTCCTTGTCCTCCCACAGAAAATTCCATTCCCAGTTGTTCGAGGTAGCGTTTTGTGCCTAAGCATTTCATCCCCTTACATGCACTTCTCACCACACAACAGCAATATCATCATCATCATCATCATCATCAGTGTATATATCATATCTTTGGTCTTACCTCATTCACTTTGTACTTGCAACGTTCTTGGGCATCTTTCAGTATTACATAAAAGCTTCCTGTAAGGGAATGCAGGCTCCAGATATGTGCCTTGAGGACAAGCACTTGTTTGGTCACTAAATTCTCAAAGGTCAGTGATTTCATTTTGAGAGCTGTTCAATAATTAAAACAGAGCTAAACTGGAATCTCTCTGTTAATTCCAATAGTAAGCTGAAGTGCTCTGTACTTCAGCTTTTGCCACGGTTATGTGAAATAAAATTGTTAAAATGAATCAATAAAGCATTGATATGCCTGTTCCATTATACAAATATGGTATTTAAGTTTTTAGGACAGAAGGCAGGTCTCATGCCATTATTTTAGTGATAGAAAACTTAAGGTTGGTTAGCAGTTTATGTTCGAAGTAGGGACAAAAAGAATATAGAAATTAAAACAAAATTAAAACTGTGAATGTGGCATTACCAGTGTTAGGTGATTATGGAAAAGACGTAACAAGGCTGAGTTAAGTAAAGAAATTGAATGGCAAGGAGCTTTTCATGTGTAGTTAGCAAGCACTCCATTGCTGTTTGAAGGATCAGTCACAGTTACAGTGCCTCTGACCCAGATTTGAAGAAGCCATAACTCGATGCTTCAGTGCATCTTCTTGACATTACTGAAACTGCTGCTGAGGGCTAGCAGGAAAGCAACTCAATGTATCATCAGGTCTACAAATGCTGATCGTGAACAGTGAAGGGTGAAAACCATTAGTAAAAGGAGTTAATGATCTAAGAAGTGGCCTCAATTCACCCTGGTTGCTGCAAGTGATTGAAAACCTTGTGTCCGGGGTGGTTCCCACACTGCAATCAGATGACAAACCTGGTCTGTCCATTGAACAACAGAGCACAACTGAGCAGTGAATGGTTTTCACTAAGATCTTCACCCCCACCCCGTGGTAATAAAAAATATTACAAGCTTTATGGTGAGAAAAAGGGCATTATGCAGCAATTAGCTGCTCTTCTTGAATCACAGAATTACCAAGGTTGGGAAAGACCTACAAGATCATCCAGCCCAAGTATCCACCTATCACCGGTAGTTCTCACTAAACCATGTTCCTCAACACAACATCTAAATGTTCCTTTAACACCTCCCTGGGCAGCCCATTCCAGCCTGACCACTCTATTGGAGAAGTGTATTTCCTAATGTCCAACCTGAATCTCCTGCGGTGCAACTTGAGGCCATTCCCTCTAGTCCTATCGATGCTTGCATGAGAGAAGGCTGACTCCCACCTTCCTACAACCTCTCTTCAGGCAGCTGTAGAGAGCAGTAAGGTCTCCACTGAGCCTCCTCTTCTCCAGACTTAACAATCCCACCTCTGCAGCCAAATTAACCTATTTGCTATGCTAATGTGAAGAAACGAGAGCCACAACAAACAATGCTTTTCTCTTTACCCCTTAGACCAGCACTATTAATCCAATTTGATGCCTTTTTGTTGGTTTTATTGAGCACAGAACCAAGAAAGACAAACACTTCCATCAGCTGTTTTCTAGCATTCCTTGTCACAGAAAAGATGCCTGGGAAGTAGTTGTGCAGAAGCAAAAGGTCATCATTCATTCATATCAATGTTGCATCTGAGTGGCAGCAAATGCAGATGTAGGTTTTTTTACATTGATTACTTTGATAATTACCTTTGTCAGGGCTGAACATGACAGTAATGATCATGGGATATATAGTTATTATATATCCATCTGTATGACTGGGTATCTCCAAAGTCATAAAACAAAAAGCTTCATCTGATAGATCAGATCTTGAAGAACTTAAATACAGTGCTAAGCAACTCCCTACAGAATTGGGCCTGAATGTCAGAACATTAAATAAAATGCACAAATGAGGTCACCATGGTCAGATTTCAGTTGGGAGGGACTTCTGAGGGACATCCTCTTCAGGAAGCCTACTGACTGTGACATTGTACTCCAGGGTTTGCCAAAAGTATGTTTCTCAGCCATCCACAGCCTCACTCAGTGCTCACTTTATGAATTTTGCTTTGATCCCTGAGTATTCAACACAAATCTTGTCCAGCAGTGGCACTTGGAGGCCTGGAAAATGCCAGCTTTGAGGTGAACCAAGAGCTAGATATAAAAGATTGAACACTGAAAGGAAAGGGGATAAGTTGGCAAGCCCAGCTATCTTCTGAGTTGACCAAAACATTTTTCATGAAAAGATTTCAGGAAAACCAGATTATTTTGTTAAAGCTATTGTGTCTCGGTGAAACCATTTTTTAACATGGCCTTGAGCAGGGAGGACACGTGCCATTCAGATGTGGTCCCTTGCTGCATCAGAATGATGAGATACAAAAGATTTTTCTCCATTAGCTAGGGCATTTACCGTGAACCACACGCATTTACACAGCACGCCTTTTGGGTGAACCCTTTTCCTGGGATTTGCATTTGTTCCAAAGGATATACACCTCCTCACCTAAACCACAGAACTTCTGTGAGGTTTTTTTTTTCTCACCATCCTCTGCTTGCTACAGTTTTATTAATAGAGCAGCTGCATTTGCATTTACTTCCAAGGGGTACCGGAGAACAGGCTGCTAAGACAAGGGAAAATACAATGACAGTAGATGCATATATCTGGGATCTTAATAAGGATGGTTTCTGCATGAACAAAGAAGAGTTCAGCCCCACAACTGGGTTCAGCAGTTTGCTAAAATGAATTTGTACTGGGAAGTACTGAAGTTGTAACTAGAAAAACAACAGAAGATGGTGTGATACGTTTTTTTCTTTCAAATAATAAAATAAATGGGACAGCTGAGAAACGTTTGCCACACAGAAGAGATTTTGTAGACAATTTAAGAAGTCCAACACTTTTAAAACTGTACATTAAAGTTTTATAAGACATAGCTGAAGAACTTCAGCTGTACATTATTTAATTAAAACATGTACAACGAGAGGAAAATAATGGGAATGTAAGTTTGTACTTATTTCCAGAAAATAGATTCATTTGACAACGTTCCAAGAGTAAACAAACATTGTAATGCAATTACTTCAGAACAAATACACATGAAGACACTGCAGTCCTATACATTGTGTTTCAGCCGTCAACAGCCAACTCATCTGCTCTGTAGCCAAGACACTTCATTTACAGCACATGTAACAGCACACAGATGGTGAGATGCACAAAGTAAGGTAAAATGTTACAAAACACTTGTCAAAATAAAATACATACGCAAGTTCATCCCTAGTATTTACAACAAATAGTTTTAAATTAGAGATCGTTCAGAAGGCATCTCCTACACACAGATGCCACATATAGAAAAAAAGCAGAAAGGCGGTCGAGGAAAGGTACGGTGTTAGTTATGGCTAAAGACCTTTGGCTCCAAAACTCTGCTCTAATTATTTTCAAAAGACAGCTAAAACGCAGAACATTTAAGCAGTCTGTCTTTGAACTCCCTCACTACACTGACCACTAAAACTTAATGTGAAATTTAGCATGACAAGAGCCACTTGTAAAACAATCTTATTATTTTATACATCAAATGCTCCCAGTTAGATGCAATTATGGTTTGGCATTATCCTAACTCAGTGGGAACACATTTGAGGACAATTACATTTTACTGCATCTCATGCAAAAAGTCTGAGGTTGTCTGCTCAGCAGGCCATCAGGAAGGCTCTGGCTGTGCTTTAGCTAAATGAGGCACAAGTATGCTTAGTAGTTGCCCTAGAACATTTGACAGTAACTTATAGCAAACAAAAGCAAGTGGGAAAGACAGCTTTCTGAAGGTAAGTTTTGTCTCAGGAGAGTCAGGACTTTCATGTTCTGCTAAAGGACAGAGGTGCTAGAGCAGAAAATTTTACATTTTATTAGCAGCTCTTTTCCCCACAGGCTCTGAAATCAGACTGATCCCCAAGTAAACTTTTGCCTTATTTGTTGGATAATGTAATTGTGTGTTTTTGTTTAACTGTAATTCATTTAAAAGATTATGGTGTAGTTCAAATTTGGCCTGCCTTCTTGTATTTTATCAGTCTTGCTGTATAGCCAGCACATTCTTTGACCGACAAATATATAACCCAATAAAATACAGTGCTGGTAGCCTCTTCATCTATTGAAGATTGCAAAGAAAGACACAGAGGATATTATAAAACAGATCTACACATAGGGCACTATCTATAAAACTGTCCTGAGTTATTTGCACCATGAAACGTTTTCTCTTTCTGAAATTAAGTTCTCTTTGAGGAAAAAACAAAACAAAACAACCTGCTGCATTCAAAACCACATACAAATATTTCTGTTCATTGTCAGGGCTAAGGCACCAGCACTACTATATGGGAAGAACCTTTATGGGCACTGATGTGACAGAAGATACATCCCAAAATCTTTTCATCAAAGACAAAATTGTAACTCTCATAATGTCTTCAGGTCACTCTGGGAAAGTTTCTGCATGTGAACTGCAATCCAACTTCAGATGCATTTACATCTGGAACAAATCTTTCAAAATGTGGATATGAAATATCTCCGCTTCCGTGATACATGCACCACTTTGGTTTGCAGGCCTGAATATGGGATGTACCCCTGAAAATGGGTACGTAAGAAGCACAAAAGTGTTGTTCAGTTATGTGGAAGGGCATGCATCCACACTGGCATCTGGAAGTCAGTTCATTCAGTTTAAATTGAGCACGCCAAATTATCTTTTAGACAGCTTGTTTTAAACATGAGAACTGAACCCAGCCAGCTTTTGTCGCTGTCCTTCTTGTGCGCTTTCTTTAAGCTGGGCTGTTGAAAATGTCAGTGCTTATTTCCAGTTCCTAACTGTTCAGGTCATCTTCTATCACTATGGAAAAGCACAAGCAATGAAGTTCACCATGGAGTGAACAATTTGGCTGAGCATCACTAGACTTCGCATTATTGCTGAGCCATATACACAAGGCATTTGAAATGTACAGTTGTCAAACATGTCATTTAAAATCAAAACTACAAACCTGCACTTTGCAGAAGTTGCAGAAAGTTACCGAATCATAAAACCATCAGATTAGTGGGCTTCACAACACTGACAACAAGTAGAAAGATAGAGGTAAGAACAGCAGTAGGAACAAATACATGTTTAAAATAAGGCTTTTTTTACATGTTATTAAGATGCCTGGCCTCTAGCCTATTGTTTGTTCTTCATATATTACAGATTCATTACAAAGGTGATTGTGTCCACTGTCAAAGAATACTCTTGGATCTACGCTTATCATCTGATAATGCCCCTGATCAGCAGCATAGAATAAAGTATTTGAAAAACATTCATAACAAACCAGTTCTGAAACATAAGGAGTCCTTTTTTCCTTCCATATTACCAACAGTCTTTCATCCTTTGTGAGTTAGTGAGTAGAAATGATCAGTGCTGCAAATAGTGAGATCCTGTTTCTTCTTGGTGGCATTAAAAGTTATTCTCCCAAATCAACTCACAACAATGCAGGTCACATCCTGCAGATGCTGACCAGAGCTGACTTTTCTCCAGCCAGATCCTTCCCCTTCCAGCACAGACCAATGACTCTGAGACAGAAATGCATCTTTGATTCACATAATTATTCTGTCCCTTCCAGTAAGGACTTCTCTTTCTTTGTGAAGAAATCTGGTCGCAACTCATTGTTGATTGCCAGTGTAGAAGAAGCATGGATCCAGACTGTTTTGAGAACTTAATGGAGATTCCATTACCATTCATCCGTTTCCTAAGTGAAGCTACATGAGTACAAAGTGTGTGAGCTAAGTAATATAGCCAGCAGTCAGCAGTCAGCCCGTACTGTCTCACCTCTGACATTGTACATTCACATTATCTCCATTAAAAAAAAAAACAAACTTTTTTCACAGAGAAATAAGCACACTGGGAATATAAAGAAGCATCTCCCAGGCTAAGAAGTGCACAAAAAGTGATATAAAAGCTCTATACTGAAGAGTATACATGCAAGCAATATATTGCTCTGACTGAAAGAAATCAGAGATGCCCTGGGTGCCTCTTGTATCCACTTGTATGCAATAAATGCACACATCTTTGTAGTCCATTTTGCACTCTCTTCATGTTTCTATATGACAGAATAAAACTTCCCTGTTCCAATCTGGAATATGATAAGGCCCTGTGGGACATTCTCCTGCCATTTGGCAATTTAATAGAAAAAGACAGGAAGGATTAGGGTCCACCAAACCCAGCAACAGCATGTCATCCACCTGATTTTAATGGGCAGCTCCTGCTTGGTTCTCCAAAAGGAGAAAACTCCCCCAAGATTCCTTGCTGAGATATCCTTAAGGAAAAACCCCTCCCTATATTAAATTTGGCCATCAGCATAAGATTAAGAAAAATGAAATGTTATAATGACCTGCACAGTTCTATCATTACTTCAGCATAACTAAGAAACAGATCAAATACTGCTGCTTTAGAGTAACAGTAAGCTGTCTTTGTCAGAAGGAAACTGCTCTTCATTAGCAATGCTGACACTTGGCAACATTTGCTTCAGAGCATTGCTGAGCCACTTCATTATTCTTCTAGACAAAGTTATATTTCTGGCTCAAGGGAGCCCACGGTTTTTCCTCCAAAACTGGAGATTCACTGAGCTTAAATACGCTTAACTGGGTCTCCAAGGTCCTTCCTTGGAACAAGTCTCTCTCCATGCTGGAAAGTCCTTCACTTTTTGAATGGGGTGAGTTTGTTGAAGGTGTGCCAGAAGAGAGATGGCTTCCGCTTGGGTTCTGCCAGGGCAAAGACCTGCTGCTGTGGGATGCTGGTGGGCACGGTGATGTGGCGCTGATGGATGGGATGCAAGCTCTGGTGTAGAGGAGGCACAGGACAGCCATTATAGCTTACACCTGGAACAGGAAGAGTTTAAGAAAGTATATGAGACAGCTAGCAAAGTAACCAGTGAGGGGAAAAATTGAGCATGGCATCATGGGACAGATCCAGTAGTCAGTAAAGCCAGAACTCATTTTGCCATGATATTAAATGAAAGCACTACTAGATGTCACCTTCTCTGATGCACGACCTTTTAATTGCTGCGCTTATTTGTGTTAAGAATAACACCAGTACAAATAACACTGGTACAAACAACAAGCAACCATTTCACAATGCCTGGCAACCTTATCTGCATGGGTAAATTCGGATATTTCAAAGGAGAGACACTTAAAAAAGTAGAACCTTTTACTGTAGTCAGCTCCCAGGTAAGACTAAGTAAAATGTCGCTACCAATGAAAATATATTTCTTCATTTTGGAAAGTATCTTTGCAGGTGAACATCCTTAGACTTTGGACCTGGATATTCTGAACAGAATGTCCTGATCACAATTTTCAGCCACTCCCCTGATAATCCAGAGAGGCTTTATAGATATCTCATGATTGCTAAAGTGCTTTATAATAGCATTATTCCCAGGGAATAGGGATTAATTTACTCCTTCACTCGTAAATCCTGACCTGGTCTGTTCCCACTTTCTCTATTTATTCTCTCAACACACTCAAATTAAGACTGAAAAAGACAAAAACACATGATTTCTGAGAGGGAAAGAGTGAAAAAAGTTTCCAGAAAAACAAGTTCCTACTCCTTCACTGTGCACTTTTAAGTAATTAGCAAGAGAGGATAGCAAGAAGCTGTTTTGACTATGCTATTATGAGCTCAACAACACGTGACGTGCAGAAAGTATATTAAAAACTTTTCAATAGAAAACAGAATCACTGAAGAGTAGATTGTCAGAATAAAAACAAAGGAAGGAAAAGGTAACTCTCATTTTTTATTTCCTCTCTGCAAACACTTTCTTACAGCTGTAAATAAACCACTTATTCTTCTAATAAAGAGATAATGGCAGCTTACTGTCAGAGGAAAACAGGAAACTGACTTAGTAGGCAGTTCACAAAGGTATTTCAATTTGAAATCGGGCTAATGGGAATACTTCAATCTTCATGCAAACCCAAGAAGAAAAGGTCAAAGCTTCAGAAACTCAATCCCTGTACTTATTCCTGATAACAAACACACTGCAACAAAATAGGAGCGTAATGCCATTCTTAAACACCTACCTTTCATTTTTCCATGCCTTGACTTACGGGCGTTCTGCATGGCTTGTTTCTTCTGGTTTTCTGAGATTTCCATTCCTATGAGAAAGAGTGAAGAAAGGATATGATCTAAAAATATTTTATCTAATCATTGCTTATACTTCGCATATTTAATTAATTCATTTAATGATCCAGATGGAATAAAAGATGTGATTTAAAAGCTGTGCACTAAGCAAACTCCATGCTATAATCTTAGATTAGCCTTTATATGTAAACTCGGTACTTTTATATGGCATAAAAGGGAACTACTGTAACTCCTTTGCACAGTTCTTGAACAAGATACTGGATGGACATCATCTTCATATAGCATGTCCTGAACATGCCAAGGAACTGTCACTGGCAGTGCAAACATGGCAGAAGGCTATGGAGGCCAACATTCCCTCCACCCTGAGGACAGAGCATCCCATCCTCCACCAGACACCAAAGGAGGCTGTGATGTGGTTGGGGCTGCCATCAGCCTGGGGCTGGATCCCACATTCCAGTTTCTCACATACTCATTTACACACTTGGATGAATTATGAGATTCAATAGTATGCCATATACTACTGCGTGACAGGTATATGACTGATTTGTGTTGAATACAGACAAGCCAGACATCCACTGTGAAAGGTTGCCAAAGATCTGGCATCATCTGGAGCCCGTGCACATGTACTTTATTTTCCTCTCCCTGCACACATGGCATTGGAGACACATGGGTCTCCATAACATTAAGGGACACAGAACATTATGAGCAGACTACGCTTTACGTGATGTCTCTTCTTTCACTGATCTGCACTTGAAGAGCACAGAAGCTGCAATTCAAAAGCCGAATAAAGTAGCTGGTCTGGTTCCATTCTGCCTTCCCCTGCATAACTTTATGCTTTTAAAACTCCCTTTACTCTTTTAGTCTGAACTTATAGAGAACATACTACAAATCAGTCTATTAACTTACAAAGAGCATTAAGCCATAATTTTAGGGTTTTCTTTTATTTTATTCTGCTTTTTGTTTCCTTTATAGAAACAAGGAAACAGACAAAAAAAAATGAAAGCAGTTTCATTGGCAGAGATCAGACCACTTTCTTAGGGTTGCTATTAGTGGTTTGGAGAAGGATTTTCTGGATGTGGGCTTTTTTTCATATGTATTCATAAAAGCTAAGAAAGGCGAGATATGGTTTGGGAGTCAATGACCCGCACCAAAGTGTTTTTGAAAATAGAAGAAAAATGCCATTTGAAGAGTATGTATTTCATCTCAGAGCAGTTAGATTAGAGGCTTTATGCAAACTCCAGCAAGATAACTTACAAAATCAACAAGACAAATTTAAACCTGAGGTCGAGAATACTGGCGCCTTTTCACTGGTTTTGGCTGAAGGAAGTGTTCACTTATGCAAAAAAACAAAAAAAAAAAAAAAGGAAAACAAGTAGTGTTCTGAGTAATGGAGAAAATGTCCAAGCTACTGTCACACAAAACCAGACAGATATTGGCTATTTCTACTCAACTGTATTTCTTCTGGTTCAAGACACCTGCGTCAAAACAGGTACAACTACTATGGACCTGCCCTCACAGTCTTTGTGCTCAGTTCCACAGAAATGCATGACCCAGTCTTCAATAAGTCTTATTGCTATTAAAACAAATCTCCTCATTATAACTGCCACTGCTACCACTCTTGTGTGGCTACCCCTTTTGAGTTTTCTTATGCTCAGGGTTTTCTGGAGCAGTGTTGCCTACCAGGAAGGGAATGGTAATATGGAATGGAATGGCACACGATGATAGCACAAGCACACCTGAACAGGCTTCACTTATACAGCTAAAGGTCATGTCAGGTAACGAAGAGGCAACAGTCCCAGAAGGCAGAGTGCACATCTGCACAAAGCATAAAAAAAAGTGGAAAACAACATTCTCTTTTGTTCTTACTACCTTTTAGAGAGGAAATCCTTGCACTCACCCATTTCCTTATCTTCTCGAACTCTTCTCCTTTCACTTTCACATGCCTCCATCCATCTCTTCTTATCCTCTTGCTTTTTTGCACAGAACAAATGAACCTCTTCTGTTGTTCTGTTTATTATCTTAAAAGCATTCTTGACATTAATGTTAAAGTCTTTGTCTCTGCCATCCTCAGTGTCTACAAGTTCCATCTCATCCATGTCGATACGATCCTTATAATACAAGATGTCCCTTCTCAGTAGATCCTTCTTACAAAACACAAGTTGATGGTCAAAGAGGAAGAAAGTCCTCTGCTGGCTTTTGCCTTGCTTTGATATTTTGGTCAGTTCTCCTGAGTGGATCAGTTCTGAGCTTCTGGCTAACACATCCGGTCCCTAAGATGATACATAGTCTTTAAGTAAGTAAACATCATTTTCAGATCTTAGGAAGTGCCTAATCAGACTCACTTCACTAATCAAGTCTTAACTCCATTTTACTGTCTTTTAACTATTAGAGCTGAAAATGCCATAGAAGGTAGATAATCTCATATAGGTAAACTTAATAAAAGTGATTCTGGTCTGCTTTCTTTCAGCATAAATTGGGAGGACACTTGTTAAAGTCACTGAAGCAGGTTGAAATTTCATAAAACAACCACAAATCTGGATGAGATTCTACAATCCGAGTATAAAAGAAAAATCCATTTTGTCATTTCTTACACGTCAGTGTCATCTCAAAGACATCTGTTCGTGTAATACTTGCTGCTCTTCCTGAGCGATAAACAAGGTAATTAGTAACAAAATCACTACAACTGGACTTTGAACTGAGAAGTGACCAGCTGAAAAGCAGACACCCACCAACAACCTTCCATGCGAAGGACAGACCTTGTGGAGGACACGAAGTACTGTACAGAGTACCTTTGACCAGGAAAGGGTCTGGCAACTTACCTCCCAGTCTACTATAGACACTTGCCAACGTGCAATTTTGTCTATGCTTTCCAATCTTCGTTTTCGCTCATTGATTAGGCATGCCACATTCTTCATAGCCTCATAAGCAGCTTTTATGTTGTTATAATCACTGTGAAATACAGGCATGTTTCAAAGATCACTCATACAATGGGCATGATGCAATTAGAAGCTGTGACATGGTACTCGAACTACTGTCCTGCATTTATCCTTTGACTCAGAGTACTTAAAGAAGAAACATGTGATTCTCAGCTATCCTCGACCTCACACAACAGTCTGTACAGTGCACTGCTGCATTTTGTGCAGGAGCAAGTTACTGAACTGGTGCAAGGAGGCAGAAGTAGATCAATGAATAGATACAGTGTCTCTACTGACAACAACAAAACCCAAAACTGATTTATACATTTCAACAAAGGGATTTCTTTTTGAGCAAAATTTAGAGGGATTTTATTGTGAAGGTCATCCCTTTGATCAAGTTTAACAGGTGCATATTCTTCTTTTCATTCCCAGTGGCTGGGGGAACAAATGTGAACAAGGAAAGTTATGCAGGCAGAAAAGATACCAACAGCAACCTCAAACAAGGTGAGCAAGAGACCCAAGAGCCTGAGCAGCAAGGAGAAGAATTAAAGTGACAAAGTGGCCCATTCTCATGGAAGAAGCGTGCGAGAGCCAAGGCTGTCACCTTCCCCTGTCTGCTCCAGATGAAATTCAGTCTCCTGTTCTTCCTCAATTGCTCTGCTCCCCTCTTTTCTCCCTGAGCTCCACATATGCTTATGGCTTTCCCCAGCCAGTAGGCAGGTCTGGGTTTCCTTCTGTATAGAATCCATCCCTCCTTCACCTTCCTCACTTAGTCTCTGAGTAGAAGGAAGGAAAGAGGCTTATTTCTTGTCTTACAGCCCCAGCTGCCTCTCCTCCATTATCATTATGACTCTTGCAGAAAAGGAAGCTGGAGGTAGAGAATAGTATGAGACAGAAATAAACCCTGCCAGAACATCAGTGTCACTGTCATTTTTATCTGCTTCTCAGTTCTTATTTTCATCAGCTGCTACTGATGGATGCATTTCTTTACACATCTGCACTCAGCTCTCCTCCCTTTGTTGACAGCTTTGCAGTCCCTTTTCAACCTCAGTATACTCAAAAAGTGAGATGAACAATAACAAGATCTTCCCTGTGTCAGGGGGATGTCCCAGGGGTGACCACTGGACAGCCACAGTCCTACTCCTGTCCTTCCTTATCTCAACTCCTTCTCCCTCTCTCAGTGTGTACATCAGCCCTCACTTGTGGCACAAAGTGTGGCCTTCATGGCAGTCTGTGCACATCTTCAATCACTTTAAGACAACAAAAGATAAAGCTACAAAAGAATAGGCTGAATGGAGCTTTTCTGAGGCTCTGTGTGAGTGTGGGCCTGTCTGCTTGTGGGCATCTCTGGATACTGAGAGCATGGCTGTGCCTGTAGGCACCAGAACTGAAGCCCTGAATATCAGCAGTCAACTTCCCTTCTGGTCCCTAGCAAAAATGCCCTTGTTTCCAAGTGGAGTTTTCTGAAGGTTGAACAAGCACAGACTTCTGCCCCCAAAGCATCACCTCAGGCTGCATTTGGACTTTGAGCACTGGGGTCATAGTGGAACATTTTTCTTGCAATTGTATGATAAAAAGGTCGGCATTTAAAGATAAAATCTTAATTTAGTTAAAGAGGTAATCAACCTAGGAGTGTACTAGAAAGGCTAATAACTTGCAACTTCAGTTCTTACTTATCCTAGATGAAAATCTAATGTATGGAGTTATTTCCCAAACAGGATAGATTTAGGCTAGACATAAGGAAAAATTCTTTTACAGTGAGGGTGCTGAAGCAATGGAACAGGTTGCCCAGAGATGTGCCCAGAGATGCCTCACCCCTACAGACATTCCAGGCGAGGCTGGATCAGGCCCTGGGCAACCTGATGGAGCTGTGGTGTCCCTGCTCATTGCAGGGGAGTTGGACTAGATGGCCTTTAAAGATCCTTTCCAACACTAAGGATTCTACGATTCTATTCTCTGATTCTAAGTAGTCCGAGGAATAGAAGAAAAATAAATCATCCCTTCTAGTATCGAAGCTTTCTGGTAGACATCAAATAAAAAAGTATTTACTGTGGGTTCATGAGAAGAATTCTTTTCTTAATTTATAGCTTTCCTTTTCTGAAGAGGTGTTTCTTTTACAGTACCTTTCCTGTCCTGTTAAGATCTCTAGTTCTGTATTTTGCCTCTGATTTTCATCACTTGCAATATTACATTGAGTGGTAAAGACTCAGCTTGTGTCTGGTGAGGAGTTCAGTTCTGAGAAAATGGGATCGTTACAGCGAGCTTACAAATGGACAGAACAGCTGTTCAGCATGTATCCAGAAAGCCCAATGATGTAGCTCAGATACAAAGCAGATTACAAAGAGTGCAAATAACAAAGATCCTCATATCAAATTTTTAATGGAACTGCTATGGAAATAGCGATCCTCAAGTACTCTGTATTTATTTTGGGCAATAAGAATTTGCCTTGAAGTTACTGGGAGACTTGGTGGAGTACAGCCTACTTTTATTGGCAATTTTTATCAGAAGGCCACAGCAATAAATGCAAAAATACCCAGGAAATCCCTGAACAACATTTTGCTAACGATTTTTTATAAAATTTTGATAATATTGTGATGGCTCCACGATGCCCATAAGGAGCTCCCCTCTATTGGAGTCACTGGTAGTTTTGTTCCTGATCTTGAGAACTGGTGCTTTGTCACTCAAAAGCTTTCAGTAATTAGGTTACTGTTTTAAGGTTTGTCTTTTTAACTCTCTCACCTGTGCTCCTGCGTGGTGTATTTGAGCAATTCTGCAAGCTGCAGAGGGTATTTGCAGATTTTTTGAACAGGCGTGAGAAGAAAACCATCAATGGCAATGTCAATCATCTGCTGAAGCAAGCGACAGGCCTCAAAGAAGTGACGGTATTTGCCCTGTTTCATTAGTTTGGAAAGTTCAATGCAGGCACTGGGATGATTGTTACAATATTCTGAATAAATAGCAAAGCCTTCTTGCTACAAAAGAGAAAAAGTCAAAGCATTAATTGATGTATTTGATTACAAAGGATGAAAGACATTTTTTGTAATACCTGTTATATCCACTTATATTAATTCATTCATTTTTATATTGTTTCCAAATTCAGTAACAATCAGCTTCATAATTACACATAAATCTACCTTTAACTTCCAAAACTGTGTATGTTCTCTGTATGAACACAGAGATAAAAGCTTTCATTAAGTCAGGATTATCAAGCCCAGTACTTCAAGTAGTTCAAGTAGCTTTTGTTTGGGGAATCCTTGAAATCAGAATGACTTGACAGCTATAGGTTTCTATTATGAATTAAGACTTCTTCCCCACCACCTTCAAACATTATTTAGGAAGTTACTGCATGCCCAAACAAGCAATCTGAGATCACTGCAGACAGTCCAGCTCATCTGTGATCACTATGGTTTTGAAATCTTGTACAAAGACACATACTTCCTAAAGAGAAATCAGAAATATTTAAATATTTTTAAATTTAATTGTAAATACTTTACATTCTAAAATGCTACCTGTTTAAAGCTCAACATTTCATAGCCACTTGTTAGTAAAGTCACCTCATGCAGTTATCATTTTCTTATTCTGTTCATTTCATAAATAAAACCAACTTCTGCAACGTACATGTTGGAGAAAGCATGACCCTATCTCACTCAGATGAGGTTCTTCTTTGTTGTACTGTTTCTCAAGATCCTTTAAAAACTTTCTTTGGAATTTGTAAATATCCTCAATATTTCCAAAAATGGTGCTTAGCTGGGCTGTGGTGAACATTCCTGTATGTTTGCGACACTGCCGAATGTAACCCTGGAAACAACAAAAACCTCATTAGTTTGAAGATACAATAACAGTTTTTACCCTGAAAGCATCCCATTGAACTGGCAAAAATCCAATGATCGACAGGCATGAGAGTGGTTTCCCAGCCATACATACATGACTGGACAAGGAGATTGCAGATTCATGCCCAAATCAATTCTTCCAATCCAACGTGCAACTACTGCTTTAGTTGCTGTGCTTTTCTGTAATCCCCTGTGCCATAACAGTTCTTCTTTACAGGAACAAACACCGAAACAATTAATATACAGACAATTTCTACCAAGGCTAAAATACTGGTTCCTTAGGCAGCTGGTATAGGTAGGACCCAGTCGAATTCAGGGAAGCAAAATTAAGGTCATATTATGATATGTTCAGAATGCTATTCTTTGCTGAAAGTACTGGTATAGTACCAGCAAGACTGACATAAAAATACAATTACTTTTTCCTTTTTTTGTGTGTTCACTTGCAAGAACATTACATGGGTCCAGTTCCTTTGTATCCAATGGTGAGTAGATGCATAACCAAGTCCACCAGCTTTTAAATGCCTTCAGAGAAAATTCTATTCCACAGCATTAGGTTGGTAACCAGATCCTATCAGTGCTCCCACAGCCAGGAGATAAACGTGAGGCCAAGGGCTCCAGACTCAGCTGCTGTCACCATGCAGAACTTCAGCCACCTGCTGCTCTGACTGCACAGGGACAGGAGTGTGCACAACAGCAGCTGATAGCACGAATAGCAGCTGTGCTCCATTCCCCTATCAGTTATGGGTGTAGATGACTCCAAAGGGTAGCGGGTGTGACAGGGGCTATCTGTCAGGCTGTTCCATGTGGCTGCTTCCAGGCAGGGTTCTCCCAAACCGCTTTGGGAGCAGACAGCTGTAAAAAGCCTGCTATTGAGGTTTACCAGGAAAATGAGCTCCTGTGTAGCTCTTTAATGTGGACTGAAGGCACCCCTCTAACACGGCAAGTTTTTCTTTCCTGGCTGCACCAGCACTGGTGATTCATTCTAGTGCAGCACTGGCACATTTGGACTACAATCTGCAGCAGCTTTTCTGGCTCAGTCCCATCTGAGTGTATTTTCAGCTTATGTCTGCTTGCACCACCCTACAGATTCACTTTGAGGATAACAGACCATCTCTACCCAAAATGTTGAACATGTAGCACTGCTTCTATGCTTCAAAAACGTGTTTGCTCTTCTGTACAAAGCTCAGAGGAATGTCATCTTATTTGAAGGAGATATGTATTAGAGAAACATAACAGAAGTCTAATAATTAAGTTGGTAAAACCTGGAGAGAGCCTCAGAACTCAACTAGCCATGGCACTGATGCAGCTGTGTGTACAAATTCCTCCCTCATCCTTTAGGCACTCAGTCAAGCTTGCTATCAGAAGGAAGCAGTAAATCTAAATGACAAAACTTGCATTTAACATTCTGTTTTGTTTTTTTTAAGCCAACCAGCTAGCAAAAAAAGTTTGTGTTTTTGTCTTCCCTTATATCTTTCCTCAAAAAGGCCTGATTCACTAAAAAACAAACTGCTGTCATGTCTACTGCGTGGTCCATGAAATAATCTAGCAATGACTGAAGGATAACATGGCAAATACAGAGAGAACCAGCAAACTAAGTGTAGTAAGAACATCCTGTAGGTTGCTAAGCACCCATCCAGATGTTAACCACAAACTCATGTGAAAAACAGGTCAAATGCATCACAGCCCACATCAGAGAATGCAAATGTCAGTGACAAGTATTAAGAAGCTTCTTGATGGAACCTCATGAAAATTTGAATGAAAAGAAGAAAAAAAAACTGGTCTCAATATTTCATGGTTCAAACCAATTAGTTCTAAGACACCTTTAAAGACTTCGTAGCTCTGAAGCATCCAAAAAAAGTCTCTCTGCTGGAGAAAATCTCACCCAGCAAACATTCTCTTTGCACATTACTTACAAAAATTTTAGCCTCTGAACTGTAACAGATTCTATTAAAATCACTGTAAGTTTTCTATCTAAACCAAGTGATACAAAGCTTTAAATAAACTGCACTTCCTCTCACTTATTATTATGGAAATAGCAGTCAGACATGCTAACTATTTTTTCTGTGTCAAACGTGGAATGTTTTATTCAAAAAGGAAGTGGTGCCTTGTGGCAGCCTGCAGAGAGGAAAGCCTTATGAGGGCACAACGAGGTTCTGACTGACAGCCTCAGAAGCACAGTTTGGAATATTGTGACATGGGAAACCATTCCCCTTCTCAACTTAGACAGGATACTTTGTTCCCATTAAGTCAGCAGAATGCCCTCAGCTTAAAGCATGTACCTCACAGATGTCCTTGAGATGCTTGATATAGACTCGTTCTGTGTTCATAATTTCCTGTATAACGTTGGTTCTCATCTGATCCTTGTTTTCAGCTATTTTCTGACGATGCTTGCTAATATCTGCATCTTGTTCTTCATCCTGGATATTATTGCAATTTTCTGGCAATTCTTCCTGATTAACTCGCAGCTGCAGCCACAACAAAGCAGAGCAGAGTAAAACAGCAAACTTTTACAAAACATGACAGAATCATAACAACATCTTACAAATAAGAGACAACTTGCGACAGAAATGTTCCCATCCCTTTCTTACAAGACAGCATTTCACAAAAAAAAAAAAAAAAATCCCATTCTACTCACCAGATATTCAAATAATGTGTTCAGATTTTTTTTTTAGTTGGTTAAATCCATGGCTTTCTACTCCCAGCATCGGAGAGATACATGTTGTGTAGCCTGTGTATTTTCCAGAATTAAGTTTATTTCTCGCCCTTACTAATAGTTAATGTGTAATTTGGGCCAAACCAGCTTATGAGTAAAAATTTCAAAAGTAAACAACTCTCTTAAACACTTCAAAATATTCTTTTCCTGCCCCAACTCCCTGTCTGGGTAACAGCACCTCCTTCATCTGCTTTTTTCTGATTGTCCATTTTGTTTAAAGAGCTAAAGGCAGGAGCCACCTCTTTGCAGATTGTGTAGTACTTAAATACAGTGTAGCCCAAGTTTCATTAAAGGCTCTCAAAAAGTAAATTAAATTAAATTATAAAACATAATTCAGTGTTATATCATTCAAGAGTCACAATAACCTGGTTAAGTTCTGACAAGGAAGCTCAGACTATGAACCAGACTCCTAAAGAAGACCGTGGTAATAAATTATGCCATTTTACCAAGACATCCCTGCAGTATCAGAAGCCAGCAGCACACAGCACAGCTTGCCCCAGTCTCTCACACAAACTGCTGTTCTCTTTGTATATACTCCTGGCTGAGCTTTCCACTGTCCTCATTTCTACTTGTGAAATTTCTTTGGCTACAAAAGGACCACACAAAGGAAGAAGTGAGGAGCTAGAGGATCTGAGGGTACGATCCTCTACTGCATTATAATGTGGGAAGTCACTAGGAGTTACACCTCTTGTGTTTGGATGTAAAGATGCTGAGGATCTGCCTCCTCTTTTAGATTTAATGCCATGGTCACCGCCACGTTCTACTAGAAGGACCTCATGAATCAATGGTGCAAAAGCAACAGTTACTAACCCTGACAAAACTAGCTGGAAACCAGGCTTCTTTGTCCTCATTTCTTCCCCACCACCAGTCTTTGTTGGAAGCTTCCAGGACTCTAATGACATCTCCAGCTTTGAAGCCCAGCTCTTGATCATCCATAGTGACATGGTCCCAGAGAGCTTCTGCATAGACAATGCTGCCATCGCTTATCAGCTGAGATGGGAAGAGAAAAGGGATGTGAAGGACAAAGGATAAACAATGAACTATTTATAGATTACAAAAAAAAAAAAAGATCAAAACATCTCACCGGATTGCCCAAGATTCATCCTCCTAGAGGATAAAACTAAAATTCTGGATGTTCAGAAATCTGCATACATCCGTTAGAGTAAGAACAAGCAGAGTCCTACTCCAGAGCAGCTATGTAGCTAATGAGTCAGGCTTCCAGTGAAGTGTTGTCACTGTGCTCTTCCCTTGGCATTTGACCTTGCACACTGTCTGAGGCAGATACCACAAATGCTGGATACTTCATTATGATGGTTACAGCCATTACACTTTTTATTAATAAGAAACCACCCACGTGTGGAAAACACGCACTCCATCATGTTAACAATACAAAGATTCCCCAGAATGGAATGTAATCCAGGATGTTACCTCATTAATGGCGAGCTGTTCCCCTCCAGGCTGCAGGTACCTCGGTGTGGCTTGGCAGAGCTCCTCGTAGCTGTAATCTTCCTCACTGCCATTGTCATCCACCAATGCTGAAGATTCAGTCCCGCCATCTGCAGCAGCTAAAACAAAAGGCAGAACAGCTGTTTGTGCAATCATTCTTACACAAGCATCTATTCCAAAAACAAACAATGCAAGAGGAATCGCTTTGGAGTTGCCTCTGTTACTATGAATATAACAGTAACAATGAAAGCGCAGGGTTCTCCGGAAAACACTCTTCAGACATGAATTACTTTTTACTCTTCTTTGTACTTTTCTCATTTAGCATCTGATGAAATAGATATTTTCCTTATTGTGCGCAAAAAAAACAGAACTCCAAACTTTTTTTTTTGCACTAGATCCAGAAGAAATGCAAAATAATCTGACCCAGAAGAGAGGTCTGGGTGCAGTTACCACCGCTGCCAGTCCCTGGCTCTGTCATATCCCTGACACGTTCCCCAGGACACCATCGAAACGAGTGCACAGCCCACATCTTGCAGGCAAACATAAGTCAGAAACAAGGTGAGCTTCATCGTGTCTGTACAGCCACAGAAACCAAGAGAAACAGCACGCATATGACTGTTTCTGTGCACATGAAAATCTGGAATTACTGCACAAAACTTCACAGAATAGTTTTACTATCTGGGGCTCCTTCTCTGGGTGAGAGGGCCTTGTGGCTATCATCTCTCCTTCACAAATGGAAAGGACTGGTTAACACTGGTTGACTCCAGTCCACAAGGCTCAGGGCCAGACCCATGGCTTGGGAAGCCAGCTATAATGCAATGTCCAAAACAGTTCTGGGGATGAGTGTGAAGCGCTCACAATCAGTGTCTCAGTGCTTGAATGCACTGTCTAGTTAGACCTTAATTTATCTCCACAGATTTACTCCTAAGGTTGTCCCAAACTATGAATAACCAGAAGGTCTGAAGACCACACAGTCCTCAAAAATCCAATGAAAAATAATACCCAGCACGGGGTGCTAGTGTTGAACTCCTTTTTTCATGCCTGCTGTGTCCCAGATAAGCAGCGCAGCAGCCCAGTATCCCTCTCCCTTCCAATGGGGAGGGATTTCTTGGCTGAATTCTTTAACCTGCTGCTCCCACCCACCATGAGGCACAGCTGCAGACCCTGCCCTGCTGCTCTGCCCTTGCTTTACTCACGTCACGAACAGACGTGTTATCAGTTATCTACTTTGTGGTGAGGATGACTTCAACCCCCACTTCTGGTGCTCAGACCACTACGAGCATCTTTGGTCATTTGGGTGTTGATGTGCAAGAGCTGAGAGCCGCACCAATTAATTAAAAAAGAAGAGTTTTGTTTTCTTTAAAAGAAGAAAAACATGCCACGGTCTTGATGTAATGCAACACAACTATTCTACCATGCTCTGCTACCCACTGGCACTTTAAATATGCACTCATGTTGATGGCATAATAGCAACAAACAAGGATGGGGAATTCCTTCTTAAAACAAACAAACAAACAAACAAACAAACAAAAAACAAACAAAAAAAAACCACAATATTTTTTTCCTAGGGACTCGTAAATCTGAGCACTGATAAACTTCTCAAACACACCCTGTAAAACATACTACAAAATCTGCAAATAAATAATTCATGAAATCAATGTTTAGCATATAAATCAACAACAAAAACAACACCCACATCACTGCAGTGATCCTTTCTACATCTCCTCTGCAATAGCAGTGCTGCCTGCCGGTTTGTCCAGGCGGGGACGGCACACGAGGGTGGCACGCCAAGGCATCTCAATTCATTCAGCTCCAGGTGAAGAATGACTGCGATTTTGGGGTTGATAACTGCTCACTGCTCCTCAGCAAATCAACGAGTTCACGCAGTCTTTGCAGGCAGGGCAGTGAGCTGGGGATGGGCAGCTGGAAACTTGAGGATGCTGCGGAGCTCCCACCTCCCAGCTGTTCGACCACCGCGTCACCATTGGCTGCCGCGAGCGACACAACGTGAGCACAGCCAAGCCCCGCACCTGGCACAACCGCCTCATTCAACACCATAAAAAAAGAAGAGCGGGTACTCACTTGTGCCCATATGAAGGCTCTCCAGACTCCAAAACCGCGCCATTCCCCCGCGGGCCACCATGCTGACACCGGGGTACCTGGCCAGGGCTTGGGGAGCCGCTCACGAGGGCCCAGCTCGGCCCCGTGCCCGCCTCGCCCCGCCGCAGGCTGCGCTGCCGGGGGAGGAAGTGGCAGAGCGGCGGCGGGAGGCGGCCCCGCTGCGGCGGGGAGGGCAGCGCGCCTCACTGCGATCCCACCCCAGCGACTGCAAGGGGAGCGCTGGATGGAGCGGGCAGTTCCGTGAGTTCCAGCGGCGCGTATCAGCCCGTCGCTGTTACATTACACAAGCAGAAAGCAACAATGAAGGCTTTTTTTTTTTTTTCTTTTTTTTTTTTTTAATGTGGCTGTTGGAACTGCTTCACAGCGAACTGCTGTGTCATTACGCAGGGCACCAGCAGCCAAAAGGTTAAGGCTGCAGAAGACGGGGAGAAAAGGGAGGACGGAGGCATTTTCTCACGCAAATGACAAGAAGGGAGCAAAAACAGGGCCCCCAACAGCAGCTACTGGCTGCAGTGTCCCACCATCCTCACAGAACTCCCTCCACTACAAGCTCCCTGGGCACTACCTGGGGCCCGCTCACCCCATGAGGTGGTCTCGCAGAAATCCAGTCTGCCCCATTGAACTGGAGGCTAAGAGGAACTCCCCTCTGAACTGCCAAACTTCCCAGGCACCTCTTGCCACGAGGAGACTTGGTGGATTGCAGTAAGCTACTCTGTATTGCAAGGTGCCGACGTCTGCCCGCACATTTTTCTCACAATTGGTAAAAACACAACTGCGAAGACAGAAACCAGCTAGGGAAACATTCAGGTACATCACTGTGCTAGTGAAGGCTTCTCACTTTATAGCAGCCAGAAAACAAGCTCTCTGCCATGTCAAAACCCTTCTTGCTGAACTGCCAAAGGGAAACCAGATCAGATACCACACCATGCTTACAGAGGAGAGATTAGAAATCATCTCTGGAAACCAGTCATCCGATTTGACTCTTGCAGAGTGGCACAGAAGTGCATGTTTGCCTGGTGACTCATCAGCACTCTGTGGGCTGCTGCCAGGAGGAGTCTGCCCTCCTCCCCTGCACAGCTCCCAGCTGCGTGGCCATGAACACAGCTGCCAGCAAAGCTCTCCTCTGGGTGAACTTCTGGTGGGCTCACATCCTCACAGATCAGCTGAGGACAGGCGAGGGCTGTCCTTGCAGTGGCAGATCAGTTAGTGTGTCCTCACACACTGCTCACCAACAACACTGAAAATGCTGCATAGAGCACAAACACTGCAGCAGCAAAAGCTGGTTTGCCACATCAGGAAAATCTCGTTGTAGGTACCCTCCTAAGTTTGCTCCCTGCTCAGTGGTTTGATGTTACAAAAGCATGGGAAGTTTGAACCCTAATTTTTGGTTGCCTTAAACAACTTGAACAGACAGTAGGAACATATAATAAATCCCACTTCATCCTTTTCTCAATATTCTATTGAGACTTTATATAAGAAAATGTCATGGGACCCTAGGGCAGAACAGAAGTGCCCCCAGCTCACTTTCTCTGATAGCAGCAGGCAGAAGTGCCTAGGGAAGAACATAAAACCAGATGAGGCATGTAATGGTGTTTTCTAATGTGCTTCCCTACATCCCAGCTATCTGCAGATCAGATTCCTCCTGGGGCAGATGCGGTATCTCAGTGTTTAATGAGCCAGTATTTTCAAATCACTTTCTGAATTTCTGTAAGCTTTTGAGATCTGACATATCATGTGCAGCAATTAATTTCATAGTTTAATTTTACAGAATATGAAAACTGTCTTTTGTTTTGAACTTAACTACCTGAGACTTTCATTTAGTTCTTACATAATTAGAAAAAACAAAAATTCATTTTTCCCATGCCAATCAGCATATAGACATTTATTCTCCTATTGTTCTTTTTTTCCAAGCTGAAGAGTCCAAGCCTAGTTAATCATTCTTTGCATAGAGACAGTGAATGGGTTTTCCTATCCTTTTTGCCTTTCTTTCTATTGTCCCTTGTAAGAAATGCCTTTTGAGGTGGAGAGGAGCGGGCAGATGGCCCCCACATGCCACCCCAGTGGCACAATCAGGCTTTCTGTTTTGTTCTCCATTCCCTTCCTACAAATTCCCGCCCTTCTATTTACTGTTTTGACGGTTACTATGCACTGAACTGACATTTTATTTATCTGTAGAATCACAAGGCAATTGCCTTCAGAAAGTTCAAAGTCCACTCCTCAGTAAGCCAGGCTTGTTTTCCTCCATGTGCACTACCTTGCTTTTATCAACATCAAATTCCACCTGCTGACAGTGAAATGCGCTGTGAATCCCTGCCATGAAATCCTTATGCTACTCTGTTCAAGCAGCTTGTGTTTTCACTGCCATGAATAACGCAGCCCACATGCAAAAAAAGTAAATTCATCCCACAACCTCCCTTTCCACGTTATCTGTGAAGACACCAAACACAGAAGACTGGCGCAATCCTTCACACGTCCACTCATGATCTTTCCCCTTAAACCAATCACTTTCCTCCTCTCTCAGTGCTTCATCACTCGCTAATGCATAGGAAGACCTTCCCTCCCCTCCCCTCTACAAAATGCACACTGACTCTCCTTCATAAGAGTCCACCACTCTGTTGCTGTTACTCTCTATTACAGTTTCAAAGTACTATATACAATATTTATGTATTCTGTGTACTGTTACGTCAGATTCACAAGTCTGCTGCTCATTGGATCACTCTGGGTGCTTTTTTACCAATGGGTATATCATCACTGCCATCATCTAAATTTGGCCCATGAACTACCCCCCAAAACTGAACTTTCTTCCAGTCTGGGTCAACCAGCTCAGCTGAAGACATCCATAGAGTAAGACGACACATACCCTCAAAGAGCTGATATTTTATCCTCCACACACCTGAGGAATGACTCAGGAATTGTTTCCCTTCCTGTAGGTTTCCTGCTTAGCTGCACTAAAAAGTTATTTACAATGCACCTAAAAATGTAGCACTGTTTCCATTAC